CCCCCCTGCGCTGCCTCCCCCCCCCTCCAGTGCCCGGGGGGTGGGCACGGGGGAGGGGCTGGCAGGGGGTTTCCCTGCAGTGCGAGCACCCAAAAGGCTGATGCACGTGGGCAGCGCGTTCATTGGGCATCAAACCCAGGGCGGGCTGGGGTCCAGGAGGCAGACCTCTCCTGCTTTCCAGCTGTGTGGTGCTGGAGAGACTGAGTCTTGATTTACGATTTTACTTTCCAGCCTCGCAAAATTGAAGAAATCAAAGACTTTCTGCTCACAGCCCGGAGAAAGGATGCAAAATGTGAGTCCTGTCGCTTGCCCAGGTGCTGGGTTGCTGCCCAACATGGCAGTTGCTTGGTTTCTATCTGTCTGAAGCGCTAAAGAGGGTTTTCTGTAGCAGCTGGAAGAGGGGCATCTTGTTACCCAAGCACAAACACAGTGTGTGGGCTTCAACATGTCAGGTGGCTTACGTGTTTCGTTATGGCCGCGTGGCTGTTCGGCAGGAATGTTGGGGTTCAAATTCTTGGGAGTCGGTGACTACATTTGGTCTGGGTTTGTCCATGAAATATAACATCGTGTCTATGAAAAAACAATGCGTAGTTCTGCAGCACCTTAGAGACTAAGTGTGTAGGTGGTATCGTGAGCTTTCCTGGGCACAGCCCACTTTTTCAGATGAAACCACGGATGGCTGTATAGAGTGTAAGTTAGTAGGCACAGGACTGGCAGTGAGTGACTGCTCCATGCAGACCCTGTGCACCATTATCAAGACTGTAAATCTGTCTCCCAGTCTTGTGATTCTAAGACTTTTGGGGCTTAGCTAGAGCAGATCCCCACTCCGAGGCTGTTGGACTAGGTGGCTGGTCCCCTGTATCTTTGGCCACTATTGGGCTGAAGCCAGCTGTAAGCCCTGGAAGTGCTCTGTTTCTTCTCTTCCTCCTCTGGCATAATGTTTTTTTGCAAAACATGCAGACAGGTCATGGGCCTCTGTGAATTTTCGTTTCTTGTCTGCTATCAGTCTGACTGTTCTTTCTAAAAATAACTAACAGAAATCTTAGCTTTGACACTGTCTGCTGCTAATAGGTAAATCCAGGACCCAGGAAAGGACATGAATCTGATTCTGGTCTACACCCACTCACTTCCACTTCTAATTGGAGTGGGGAGTGAGGGGCTGTTCAAATGCAAATGAATGTTAATGACAAATCCGGTTTTAAGGATAATAGTAGTAAGGATAATACATAGTAGTATTTAGGGATGTTAAAATACATGTAACTAAGTAGCTGTGTAACTAAAATTTATGCGCAGGGTGGCAGACAGCTGCCCGGAAGCCAGTGATTGTGGGGAGCTGGCTTTTAAGCTGACTCTTCCACTGGTCTCGGACTACTACCTCCATATCAAACGCAGCAGCACAGGGCAGTAGATGGCTCCCTGCATGTGCCAGAAGCCTGGGATTGCTCATAACTTCATGGTTTTACACAGGATCCTTGGTTAACCATGAACATGGTTACACTTGCACATCCCTAGTATTAGTGTGTGCC